GTGCATTATCTTTTTTTCTTTCTTTTTGTTTTTCTTTCTTTAGCTTTGTTTTTGATTCGCGCATTGAAAAAACGACAAACGAATATTTCTTCGATCGATTTTCATCTCCCGTTTTTTTCCTCTCTTGTTCGAGAAGAAGAAGAAAAAACAAAAAAAGAAAAAAAAAAAAAAAGATTATGAAAAATTTTTTTGTTCACTTTTTCTTTCCTCCTTTCTCTTCACCTCTCTCTCTCTCTCTCTCTCTCTCCCTCTCTCTCTCTTCTTTCTTTCTAACTGTATTATTTCATTTAATTCGCTACTCGCACGACACAGTAACGACGACGTTATTTAATTCTGACTCATGCGACATACTTATCATTTCTGCAATGTTTTTTTCTTTTTTTGTATTTTTTTCTTTGTTTTCTTTTTTGTTTTTTTTTGGGGGGGGAGGTATTGGGGGTGGAGTTGGTTGGAGTATTTTTTCTTGTTATACACGATCTCTTCTACGGGCTAAGTTTTTACTCGACTAATGCGTAAGATATAATAACACGCTTTCGTTAGACGAAGAAAAAGAAAATGAAAATGAATAAGAAAAAGCAAAAAAGAAGGAGAAAGGAAAGAAGAATAGAGGAAAATTTTGCACTTCTTTCCGTTTCTTTTCTTTTTTTTCCTTTTTTTTTCTTTCGTTAATTCCGCGAATTTCTTTTGTTTTTTTTTTTTTTACCGCTTCTGTTTCTCGTTTCGATTTCTTCTCGGGGGATGAGGGAGAGGGGTGGAGGGAGATAAAGTGCTCGGTTAAATTTTTTCTTTTTTTATAAATTTCTGATTATCGACGATTTGTATATGTGTTTCTCTCTCACTCACTCACTCACTCTCTCTCTCTCTCTCCCCCTCTCTCTTTCCCTTTTCCTCCATCTTGATTTTCTCATTCATTTTCTTTTTCTTTCTTTTTGTTTTTCAATCTTCGTTTCTTTCATCATCATCATTATCATGATTATCATCATTATCATTTTCTTCTTCTTCTTCTTTTTCTTCTTCTTCTTCTTCATCTTCTTCTTCTTCTTCTTCTTCTTCTTTCGTCTTCTCCATGCTCGTCGGGTGACGCAGGTCTTCGTACTTCACGCTTTACTGCACCGGCCCCGTTCGAGAAAAAATAAGTATAATACTCGGATAAGAGTGTACGATGATAGCGTGTACGCGTGCGTTTTTATTTTTATTATTATTGTAATTATTGTTTAATTTTTTTTTTTTTTTTTTTTTTTTTTACTTTTCTTTTCGTTACACATATATTATTATTTTTTTTGCTTTTGTTTTGTCTTGTCTTGCTTTGCTTTATTTTGCTTTCTTTTTTGCGGGATCGTGCAGGTCCCGCGCAGATCGTAGAAGCAAGTGTTGTGTGCGACTTGGTCATCAAATATCAGAGGGGAGTTTTTAAGGGGGGGATGCAGTCACGCGTTAATTCATTCCAAAAGAAACATCGAGAGAATACGTTGATACGGTATTGGTCGTCATCCTAGTGGTCCTATCGTCCTTTCCGATGACGACCCATTTTTTCTATTTTTTTTTTCTTTTTTTTTTTTTTTTTTTTTTTTTTTTATCTTCATAAACTATCTCTCTGACGTTAGATCGATCGAGACAAGAAATTAAAATGGACATCTGTACTCCTTTTTTTTTTCTAATTTTTTATTTGTCTTTTTTGGTATTTCCCAAATTTTCATTTTTTTTTTCCTTCCGTACAAAACGTAAAAATATTTACATATCATTTACTGATAATTATAATTATATTTATATTACTTTCATTATAATCGTATTCAAAGGAATTATTTGAAAAAAATTTTTTCAGAAAAAAAAAAAAAAAAAAAAAAAAAAAAAAGAAATATTTTTCATTTCCAATCTCGATCGATAACAACGTTAATTATAATGTCACACAAATCATGCTTGCTAATTATTTCATTGTTAGATATTACAAATATACTCTCTTTTTTTATATTATATATAAATGTAAAAAGAGACAACATCGTCATGAGCATCGTAAGAGATTGAAGAAAACGAAATAAGAAAGAAAGAGAGAAAAATAAAAATCAAATCAAATCAAATCAAATCAAATCAAATCAAATATGATATAATATATATAATATATAAAAATAAAAATAAAGGAAAAGGAAAACGCTAAGCTTATGAAAAAGTCCAATGCATCGTTTAACTCACACTACTACTATTTAAGCCAAAATAAATAAATAGATACAGAAAGAAAGAAGGAAAGAAAGAAGGAGAAAGAAAAGAAAAGAAAAGAAAAAAAAAAAAAAAGAAATTTTTCAAGAGCGTGCATCCGTCTCTTTCGAGGATCTACGCGCCGTTGATCTCATACGAATCAAATCATAAAGTATTAAACCATTATGGGATGCGAAAAAAAAAATATACTGGCCAGTAATTCCTCGAATTGACGTTTATAAATATTCTTGTTAGGATTTTGTAACTCGATATAATATTATCTTTTACAAAAATAAAACTTAATATAAAAATGAATGAGAGAAGGAGAGAGAAACAGAGAAAGAAAGAGAGAAAGGAGAGAGAGAGAGAGAGAGAGAGAGAGAGAGAGAGAGAGAGAGAGAGAGAGAGAGAGACAGATATAAAGAGAATAAAAAATTGTATTTATCAATTTAATTATTTATTATATAAATATTAATAATTAATATTTTTATATATTAAATATATATTAATGTATTATTTATTATTTAAATAAATTTATACTCATGTGTATTTGATTTGTAATAATAAAAATGTGAAATGTTTTTCTTTTTATTTTTCGTTATTCCTCCCTCTCTCTCTCTCTCTCTCTCTTTCTTTCTGTCTCTTTCATTATCCTCTTAATAAATTTATAATAAAATAAATATTAGAAGAAGAAGAAGAAGAAAAAAAAAACAGAAAATACAATGGCACAATAAATTAGACTAACATATTTTTTTTATCATTCGCCGTACACGGTGATTATATTATTATCTCCGTTTTACAGTTATTAGTGCAAACAAATGCTATTTATCTACGTATAAAAAGGGAAAAAAATTAAAATGTCACATTGCATTGTAAATAAATAATTTGCGGGCCAAACAGTCAAAGTTTCTTTCGTTGCAATAAGTAAAAGAAAGAAAAAATGAAAGAATATAATCAAAAATAGATTCCAACGTAATGATCTTGTTACGTTAAAAATATAATAAATAGCTATGTCAACAACAAAAAATAAATAAATATACATAGATATCGAGAAAGAACGTGTTTACGATTGCAGGAATAAAATGGGAAACGTGCATTTGGAAAACACACGAGACTTGGATAATTAAGCGGATACAACAACATCGAAATTTCGAAACACACCATGCATATTACACCATAATCATTATCAATATTATTTTTATAATAATGACATTAATATATTATTTATTTCAATCGATCAATATAAGAATAATAATAATAGAACAATTTAAATTCGAAAAAATATTTACTGACGAAGATCAATTACGGCTGACTGAGCGAAGAATAAACAATAAAATAAAAAAAAAAAAAAAAAAATAAAAAAAAAAAAAAAGAATATGTATACGTATATATAAATCTATCGGTCAGTAATCTTTGTTATATATTATAAAAAAAAGAAGAAAAAAAAAATATATATATATATGTATCTATAAGAAAAAAAAAAAGGAAAAATAAATTTGAAAATTTTCAAAACGTACTCACCACAAATCGATTGACTTTAATTTTTGGCGCACGAGGAGACTCATTGGTCTGTGATCCGAGTGATTCGAAACGAGCTCTAAGACTGCTCGCTGATTCTATGCTCGACTGATCGCCTGTACTCTGAGCTATTTCCATCTCGGCAATGTTGTGATTACTCGGTTTACCATCGGTCTCTTCCCAGTGTTCGAATTTCGCGCGCAATGTCTTGGCACGCGCAGCATTCTGTGCCTGCTTTAAGAATTCGTCCTCCACCTATAAGAAAGAAACAAACAAAAAAAAAAAAAAAAAAAAAGTAGAAAAAGAATTAATAAATAAATAAATATATAGAAAAGAAATAAAATTTAATAATTCAAATTAAATTGTTTTTTTTTTTTTTTTTTTTTTTTTAAAGATTATCATTTATCAATTATTCTTCCATTCGCAATTGAAAATATACAATTATTTATCTTCCGTCGATAATAGCGTGCAACAATTATCAATTATCTTAGATTGATGTAAATATCATACGAAACGTATATTTAAAGTACAAGATTGTATTAAATGATAAAGAAGTTAAATTAATTTTTTTTTCTATTTGCCGATAGATGTCACTAATAAAAAAAAAATCACTAATAAAAAAAAAGAAAAAAAAAAAAAAAAAAAGAAATTATCGACTCGGTACAAACGATATTACCTACTTTCAGGCGCACGATACGGTGTTAGTTATCATCAAACGTTCCGGTAAACAATAATTAAATCGTACGAAGAATCACTTAACTTATATAGCAATTGATAAAAGAAAACACGATTACACTTCGTTTCTGAAAATAAACGACTTTCTTCGTGTAAGAAAGAAAAAAGGAAAGTAATGAAAAGGAAAAAAGAAAAATAACAACACAACAACAACAACAACAACAACAACAATTATAATAATAATAATAATAATAATAATAATAATAATAATAATAATGCAAAAAAAAAATAAAACTAACCTTATCGGAGGCTCTGACGTAATTTGGATCTCTTTCCTCGGCACTCTCGTCGGCTTCAGACTCCTCACCTTCCTCCTCTTCATCCTCTTCGGAATCGGAGGCTGTTTGTTTCGCAAACTTGTCCTCCGGTGGTGGCGTGAAACGTTTCAAAGGTTTCGGGCCCTCTGGCAATTCCTCCTTGCACGCATTCTCCTCCATTTGCCGGAAAATAGAAAGCATTTTTCTTGCTGTGTCCGTGTGTACGACTTCGTCCACCCTATCGTCAGCCCTCACAACGTCAGGATCACGATATATTTCACGCTCCGGCGAATCCATCTGCTGATACGATTACGGAATATTGAAACATTTTCTTTCAAATTGTTTCTTAATTTTTAATTCTTTTTTATTTTTTTTTTTTTTGTTTTTTTACCACTCATCAATAATGACGAGAGAGATTCAAATTATTATTTTTTTTTTTCTTATTCGACACAAGTAAATCATCGCAAAACAATCGTACGTTAGCTTATGAAACGTTTATTAAGCGAATATATTTATTAAGATTGAGGTTAGAAAGGAAGTAATGCATTTTACGTTCATTTCAAAATTCGTGCATGAGTTAAAGATGAATATTATTTTTTGATCTGTTCAATCTCAATTTTTTACAATTCAATGACTGTCTTTCTTCAAATTCATAACGGTTCTTATTAAATCTTTTTTTTTTCATATTTTCTTTTTTCTATCTCTACGTGAAAATAAATGAGGTTAGGAAAGAAAGATAATTATGAATTTTTGATAAATTCAAAATCGTTAAAAATTCATTAATCTCACTTTTCTAATAAATAATATTCGAGCTCTATGAAATTTTCTTTGAATTTTTTATACTCGAGAAAATATATAAATGTGGTTAAGAAAAAAGATAATAATATATTTTTTTCTTTTTCACAAATACAATATCTACGATTTTATTAACCTTGCTTTTTTCGAAGCTTTAATTTTGTCATGAAATAATATCGTGGTGAGCGTGATCATATCAATACAATGAAGAATTTCAAATAATATCATAAATAACAGATTTGTTAAATCTGTTTCTCTGTATGTATCCTTCCAGAAAAAAAAAAAAAAAAAAAAATCAAATCCGGCCAAAAAGGTAAGTTAATAAATTGACGCCTGTTTCTAACCTATCCTTCCGCTTCTAACAAAATTCTGAGTGAAGTTATGAATAATAATGAATTCTAATCAACTTCCACGTTTTTAAAAGACGGATTTGTTAATTATACTTCTTTTTTCTTCTTTTTTTTTTTTTTATGTATCCCCTGCCCTCCCCCTACAAAATGTAGAACAAAAAAAAAAAAAAGAAATTTCACTAACTTTATGCAAACGATTTTTGGCCAACTTTCTACCTATCGTCTACCTTTTTCTCGCGCAAAATTAAAATGTTTCAACGTAGAAAAAACTGGGCACATATATACCATACATACATATGTACGTACATACGCGTTAAAAAAGATTATATATTTATATATAAAAATAACTTTGTATTCATAAGACCGTTATTACTGATAAGACATGAAAGGATGAGCCAATAAAGCTAAAAGTATATTCGAACGAGCGTCTTTATCGAAACCGGATGATAATTTCGAAGGTAACACAGAAGAGAGAGAGAGAGAGAAAGAGAAAGAGAGAGAGAGAGAAAGAGTGACGTGTTCTCTCAGGTAAGCGGTGAACCAACACTCGAGAAACTTCAAAATATTCCTTTTCTTTCCTTTTTTATCATAGCGAGTAGAATTTCGAGGTTAGGACGTGACTCAGCGCGAAAGTGTCCTTTTTACAATCCCCCTAAAACCGAACCTGGCCCACCTTCGGTTAGAAAATTTATGCTGTCCTTGCGATACACTCTGTTTCGTCGATGTTCTACAAATTTTTTCATGTAAAAAAATTCCTTATTATTATTTATTTATTTATTATTATAATTATGATTATTATTGAAAATACGATCATTTGTTTTACGCGTAAAAAATTATCTTATGTATTCGAACTCGAGTAAATGTTGTTATTATTATAAAAAAAAAAAAAAAAAATTAAAAAAAAATAGATTAGATTCGTTCCATTAGATTCGCGCGGTTGTCCGTCATTTTTATTCCATTCTTTCTCCAAATATATTTGATGTATTGTAAATTAAGTTTTTGTAAACAAGAAAAAAAAAAGAAAACCATAAAAAAGACAATAAAAAACGAATATTATCAAATAAGAAAAATCATTAAGAAAATAAGAGGATACTAAAAATAAATGTTCGACCTTTCTTATAAGTATAAAAAGCAAAAAAAAAAATACGTAACACGAAATAAAAACTCGATTATAAAATGTTTTCCTAAATATGACTCACATACAAGTCGAGTGACTCAACGAAAAAGAAAGATAAAGAAAAAAAAAAAAAAAACAAAAAAGGAGAAAAGGATCAAAATAAATATCAAAGAAAAAATATTTTCGAAAATTGAAAAGGAAAAAAGAAAAAAGGAAAGAAAGACAAATGATAAATATGAACAGAAAAGTTAAATTTGTGTATAAATAATCGAGCCTTTCATAAATATGAAACAAAATTTCTAATAACAATAACAATAATAGTAACAATAATGATAACAATAATAACAGCAATAATAATAATGATAACAAGAACAAAGATAGAAAGAAAGAAAAAAAAAAACAAGAAAAAACATGGAATAAGAAATTTTTCCATAAATTTGACTTGTAATTAGCTTTCGTTCGTTCATTATTGTCATCGTCACCATCATTATTATTATTATTATTATTATTATTATTATTATTATTATTATTATTATTATTATTATTATTTATTTATTTTTTATTTTTTAATGAGTGTTAACCAAGACTTTCTTTTCTTTTTTCTTCCGTTTCTTCTTTTCTTTTCTTTTCTTTTTTTTTTTTTATTTTGTTTACTCATGTGCGAAAGCATATATCATGAAAGCTATATACGCCTACATATGTTTCTCTGCACAAGATATATATATATATATATATATATATATATATATATATATGTGTATAGAAAAAAGAGAGAGAGAGAGAGGGAAGGAGAGGAGAGAGAAAGAGAGAGGAAAATACTTTACGCTCGATGATTCGCAAAAGAATGCCTTTGAAATGTATCGTGTGCACGCAGAGAGATCGTTTTGTAAGAGAAAGAAAGAGGACGAACACTAACGTACGAACAAATCGCGATAAGTTCGATGTACGCACTCCCGGACTTCTCCATTATCGTCACTTATGTCAATTCCAACGTGTCGCGACGTTTTCGTTTACGTTGCCGTTTCGTTTCCAATTAACTCCGGCTGACGCTCGTCAGTTGGCTCGATTTAACTAACGTAAGACGATTTAAGACGGCTTCTGTCTGTTCGTTTGCTTTTTTTTTCTTTCTTTCTTTCTTTTCATTTTTTCTTTCTTTTCATTTTTTTTTCTTCTCTTTTCTTTCTTCCTTTTCTCTTCTTTTTTTCCTTATCATCTTCTTATCATCATTACATATTTAAATTTAAAACAAGTCATTCGGAAAAACAAACTCGATCGAAATATATTTCGTGCAATAATAATAATAATGATGATGATAATAATAATGATAATAATAATAATAATAATAATAATAATGATAATTGAAATATAATTTCGGCGGTATTAAAATCGTGAACAATTGTTTTCTTTCCATTTTTTTTTTCTTTTTTTGGTTTTCTTGATAACCACGTTATCTATCAATTCTAAGAAACCCTATAAAAGATATATTTTTTTCTTTTTTTTTTCATAATAAACGAAATCTTTCGACTAATTTTCCAAAAAAAAAAAAAACGATTGTTTTCGTATGAATAGGTAGAAATTTGGTATATTTTTTTCAACTGTCCGTCATAATTGGAGAATATTTAATTGGTTGGGGGTAAACGATCGCAATAGATACGGGAAAAAACAAAGAAAATAAATAAAAATGTAAAAGAAAAGTGGACGCATCGAGGCAATAATATTTGAAAGCTAATTATTGATTTTAAGTGGCCCACGATATTTCTTCTTCTTTTATTTTTCTTTCTTTCTGTTCTTTTTCTTTTCTTTTTTTTTTCTCTTTTTTTTTTATACAACAAAACGTAACTTTCCGAATAACCATTAACTTTCTAACTTGTTAATGATAATTAAGAACTCTTTTTTTTCCATTTGCCCGACGTAATAGAAATTTAATATATCCAACCAGAAACTATTCACTGCGTTCAAAAAAAAAAATAAAAAAAAAAAAGAAAAAAAAAATGAAAATAAAAATAAAAAAAAACACTTCATTCAATGCTGAAAAATTTTATACATTATTATTATTATTATTATTATTATTATTATTATTATTATTATTATTATTATTATTATCGTAACCATCATCATCATCATCATTATTGTTTTTACTATTATAAATATTTCATGTTTCCAATTACGAAAAAAAAAAGTATAATAGTTAAACTCGAATTATAATATCGCACATATATTATTCACGCTAGCTGATCTCGTAATATGTTTTTAAATGCTCTTTCTTTTCTCCTTTTTTTTCTTTTTTCTTTTTTTTTTCTTTTTTTTTTATCAAATAACAAACATCGAAATGAATAGATCGATACGCGCCATAACTTTCACTAAATACTAAGTATGAAAAAAGAGAGAGAAAGAGAAAAAGAGAGAGAGAGAGAGAGAGAGAAAGAGAGAAAGAGAGAAAGAGAGAGAGATCACTGAGGTCTTTTCGCACGGAAGCTTCTCACGATTCATGTCGTTTTATAATAATCTCACCGTCATTCTAACACTCATTTAGACTCGTCTACGCTATTAACCACACAAAGAGACCAAAGGAATGCCACAATATGAAGAAAGACATAGAAAATGCGATCTTTATTGCTGTATGCATTTCAAGTATTTACGTTATATATATATATATATATATAAATTTCAAGTGAATTTAAATTTAAATTTAAATTGAAATTCATTCGAAATTTGAATGTTAATGGATTAAAAAAGACAAAAAAAGAAGAAAAGAAAAGGAAAGATATTTTTATTCAATTTATATTTGTTGTTTAAATAAAAAAAATCTTTTCTTTTTTTTTTATTATTATTTTCATTATTATTTTTATTATTGCCTTTTTTTTTTCTTTTTTGGAAGAAACATTTTTTCCTTTTATTTAACTTCCACCAAAACGAAGAAAGAGTGAGAGAGAGAGAGAGAGAGAGAGGGAAAGAGAGAACAAGGCTAATGAATATTTTTTTTTTATTGACACGATAAAAAAAAGTCTCATGTCTATCGTCTTAAAGAAAAGTATAAT